CTAGCATGTATCGATGCGCCTCAGTCTTCTCTTTCTAATGGCGAAAACCGCATCTCTCTATCTTGTTCCTATCAAAAGTTATTCAAAAAATGGCCACGGCTCTTATATTTTGAAATGGATATTAGTAACTAGCAGCTTACTTGATTAAGATCTCCTCGAATTTCTTTTGAAAAAAAGTTGAGTATTTTGGGAAATTACCAATATCACATAAAGCAGATAGAAAGTCTAAGAATTTCCCTTCGTTTATAACGTCAGAATAAATGTATTATATTGTGGTAAAATTGATAATAGTCTATATTTGTGTATGTAGAACATCAACCTTCACCACCACCTACATCAAAGACAATACCCGTGAAAGTCAGGTATTTCAAATGATGTCATCAGAAAATTTCTCTTTTCAAAAACATTTTTTTCAATGTATTCCAGTAGTTCAACAAACTTTGACCATGAATCACGAGCACATGAGTATGAAGAGTGTGAAGAAATCAATTTGGCTTTCGCTGAATATCAACGTGTTCAACCGGTCTCATCACCTGAAAACATCGAGATTGTCCAGAATACGGTGAACAAGCTCGACAATCAATGTGCCAAGCGATGGAGAGACTGTGTCAGACGTTAATGTTGTGTGCTTCAAAAGGTTTATTTCGTTGGAATAAGTATATATTTTCTACTGCGATACGTTTTCCAATAAAAAAAAGTATTCACAGTGTGGATAAATGAAAAGAAAGAAAAAAAATGATAATACCTTGCCAGTCAGAAATCGAATAACGTCGTTTGAAGATTAAGCAGCATGTCATTCAATGAGGAAGATCCCTGTGCCCCATTGTTTACCAGTATTTTATATGCACTGATTTTACTGATAATATTTCTTTCGCTAATATCTCAGATTACTAATACAATATTGGCAATATTAGTATTTTATCAACCACTCATTCAGTTTTCATGGTCGATAACTAAAAATTTCTTTGTGAAACATTTGTGCTATCAGTAATCCAAGAACAGTACATTGAATAAATATACTCATCTATGTTTGTGAACAGTAAGTTCCGATTCCGGCCGGAGCCGACCGTATCCGCCTTATTTCTCATAGAATCTGCTCAACTTCCTACAACATCACCTCAATATCCAGCGGGAGTCCGCTACAAAAACCTATAATCTTTCGAACATGTTTTCATCGGTTTTGAATTGTAAAAGAGCATTTTTCGTCTTTAAACTGATAAGGAAATTGTTTACAATGAAAAATATGATTTAATTATTGTATAATAAAAAAAACAAGAAACAAACTAAAGAAGGACACACAGTGTGCTCTTCTTTTTCGGAGCAATAGATAATCTTGATGCAGGCTGAGAGGGATAACTGTCAACACCGACGATAGATGATTCAATATCTTTGTTTTCTATCTTTTTTTTCACATCATTATTAATTGCCACTTTCTCAACAGGTTCTTTTTCATTTTCAAATAATTGAACATGATCGTCACATCCTTGCTCTTCATGGGTCGATGGTTTCTCATCATCATCAGGTTTGCCGTGAGTAGGGGATGGATGGTGCGAAGTAGAATTTCCTTCATCATCGATCAAAGAACTTGGTTTAGATGGTTTCTCTATTTTCAAGTTCTCTTCTTCTTTTTTCTCTTCATAAAAACATGCAGCGAGACGTGATGCCTTTTCACATTGAAGAAAATCCCAGTCAATATCGTTCAGCTCATTTCTTTGAACAACTCGACTTGCATCGCCAATTAAATGTTGCACCAGAAGAGAATAGATAACATTTTTTAATGGTCCAGCACAATAGTATGTGCACTCTGTAAGGATATCCTCCTGCTCTTCTATCAACCAGAGATCTTCTTCGGAAGTTGGATCCGACATAAGTTCATTGAATGCTGGTAGAACTTGATCAAATGGAATCAGAGAAGATTGAGAGAAATGCAAAAGCATCTGAGTTGCAGCATATCGAATATTCATGGATTTCGATTTCAGACAGATAAATAAAAGATTTCGAACAGCATTCTCATCTTTAATAGACTTGATACGTGTCAAACATTTATAACAAGTATTTTGAATATGTAGATCATGACATAGAGATTCAATCAACATTTCACATAATTGGACTGTAAGTTCGCCAAATACTGATAAGATGGTTAGACAGGCACTACGTCGTGAAAAATCATGTTGTTTACTCGTATAGGATAATGAGCGTTTCAAGTTATCTTCATACCCACAATCTTTGATGCAAGAAATAAATGCTGCTGGCATTTGTACCGCGATTAAACTTGCAACTTCCACATATTGAGGATACCCGTACGCCAAAATATTGTCTGTTGTTTCACGATAGACTACGTCTTTAGTGAAGTGACGGATACTATTGTACAATTCAACGATAAAAATTGGCAGAAGATGTGGATGTTCTTCGATGAATTCTGCCGTGTTTTCTGCACACCTTTGCTGAACATCATATGCAAAAAAATATGCGGTGGACCCAATGAGTGCATGATAACATTGAATATCATCAGAGCCGACCATTTCAAAGAACATCGATTTCTCCTTCAAAACACGTGCAAGTCCAATGTGCACTGTTTTCAAAATAATTTCCGAAGAATTTTTGAGCAACTGACGAAATAGATCAATATCATCTTTATCAAAATCAATCTTGCACACAGCCATATAATGGCAATAACTTGAAATCAATGCACTAATCAAATAGCTAGAATCATTGGAAGTCTTATTTATTCCCTTTTTCACCAGTATCTTGAGCTTGATAAACAATTTTTTATACGTTTCTTCATCCAGAATGTAACCAAGAGCATATGCTGCTGCTTGACATATCGCATTGTTTCTCGATGTTTCAAGTAATGTTATCAAAGCGTCGACTCTCAATGGTCGTGTTTCATCATCATAAGCGGATAAAGTAGCTAAAGACACAAGTACTGAAACAACAAATCGAATGTGACTTTTCAAAATCAACTTCGATGTTATGTCACCATCTATATCCAAGAATGATGATAAATTCGATGGAATCAGATCACACATAAATTGTAGCAAATCCCCAGAAATATTTCGTATTTGACCACAAAAAGATACGTCGATGGTAATGTCAGTTGGGAAATACGTAGTATATTGAGAAATTGGCGACGTATTCACTTTGTTCAATGAAGTTTTTTTAGATATCAATGCATAAATTCTGTATCTTTCTAACCAAAGGAAAGTTTCTAGATGAGATTGAGTATCTATGGTTATATGATTAAACATGCGAGATAAAGTTAACTTGGCAAATGGAGAAGTATGTTGAAAGTTAGCCATTTTCTTTGTTAAAGTTAATAAAACATCGATATCCAGTTTGGAACTCGTTCGACAATCGTAGTCACTTCTTGATCGCAAAATCATTTCAGCTTTTTGACGAAAACGATCATTTTCACAACACAAAAGATCACATACAATGGTGGCAACTTCAACAGACCAGAAATCTGATTGAGCAAGAAGTAATGCAGCATGAAAAGCAAACAAAGAAAGTTCGGCTGATTCTTTCCATCTCATCCAACATTCAATCAGTCGACAGGCTTTGAATTCAACCAAATGTAAACGATGTAATGCATTGTTTAAAATAGCCCAAAACTTCTTCGAGTATTTCCATCGATTTGATGCTAAATTAGAGGAAAGAAGATCCGTTATTGTCGATGCTTGTGCAACTGTCAAAATAGGACTTTTCAATTGAAATAATTTCATTATTATTATCGTCTCATCTCTTGTCGATGCATCAGTATTTGACACATACAACAAATGCTCATTGGTCCCAATATATCCATGAAGTTCATTTGCTAGCTCGACAAGATACATGTTGGAAAGAAGCAGTGATAAAGATAAGGATTCATTCAATACACTTTCATATGGATCCATAGTAAAACATTCTCTCAATATGAAAGATTTGCTGTTCATTGTGTTGTTATGATCAACGTTATTCTCTTTCGTTAAATCGTTCAAAGTATGTTGTTGAAATGGAACGAAGGAAGAATTCGATTGCATATATGGTGACAAGGCTTCGTAGACAATTTGTTGATCTTGTTGATCTGCATCGGTCAACTTGTGAAGGAGACTTTTTCGCCAATTCTCAATTGTGTCTTGACGTTGAAGAAGAGGTAAACATCGAATAAATATAGCTGTGTGTAATAGAATAGGTAAATCTGGGAAGATTTCATTGAATTGATGCTCGATTTCTTTTTGCAGAGATCTACCATTACTAGCTTGAATTCGATGACAGTCTGAGTGCGAATAAAGAAGAATGACACTTAATGCATCGAGACGTACAAGTTTCGACTCAATGGACATTGCTCCTCGAACACTCTCTTCTAGTAAATGTAATTTTCTGTCATCTTGAGCCCATCTGCAAATGCATGCCAAAGAGACACATGCAGAATAGAGATTTATACTTCTTTCGTCATGTTCAATCAAAGAATTTCGAAGTCGTTTATGTTCTTGGTTAATACATGCTTGTACGAGTGTTCGTCGCTCTTCATCTGACATATCGTCACCAGGAGGATAGTTATCAATTTTATCCAAGTATAGACCAGTTTCATAATCCATCGAAAACTTTCTATGTGCTTCAAATCCTTGTAGAAAGTAAGAAAATTTTTTAGGTAACGTCCATAATAGACTGCTTCCAAAATTATCTAATTGATGCATTCGAAGCATAGGTAGTAATGCAGTTAAAGCACCTAGAAGCGAAAATCCATTACATGATGCATTTGACAATGCCATTAAACATTCAATTAAAATATGACTAAAACAAAGATATTCTTTGTCGTCGGTTTTCGAACCTTTTGAATCGATTATAATAAACTCTTGTTTTAGTAATTGAAAGTAAAGGTTATTTAAATGTTGTGGAACAAATATAAATGGAAATAAGAAATCTTCATCATTGTGAAATAGTAAATATTGCTGTATGTCGTCCAGAGCTACAGCCACTCTATACGGTGTGTCAAACATATGGTCATGCTCTAATATCCAGAAAAGTCTAATGAAATTATGAAGCAAAGAACAAGAATTTCGACCACAATCGAATTGTATATCTGTCGATAATAGACGCATGAAAAATTGAGACTCTTTGCGAAGAGAATTGGACAGATTCAATGTCACTCTTTTAGCAGGTTTTGATTCTCCTTTGAGTAAAATTGATCTTGTAGAAGATCGCAAGCGAGCCATGCCACTTCTTAATGAGTCTATAAGACTTATAAATAACTTCTTTGATGATTGATCTAAGTTAACTATTTTGATTAACGTTGAAATAAACGTTGTTGCTTCATTTTCAATAGAACGATCGTTTTCGTCACTAGCAAAATAGAATTGACGTAAAATCATTGAAACATATTTGAATCTACTGACACTCATATTAAAAAAACCATTTGAGATGATTTTGTCAGTTTTTCGCACGAAGTCGATGCCGTACAAACAGATCGTCGCAATACAAAGATCGACAGTCTCTGAAGATTGATCGTCAATCTCTATTCGTGTAAGGAGAGCTTCCTTAAAGTCTTCTTTGATGTTGATCAAATTTTTATCGTTCTTATTACGATCTTTTATGGAAAGAAAACGTATCAAAATTTGTGTTACTGCAGTTGACTCACGATACATATGAAACGGATCGAAGACGATCGATTGATTATCTCGCTTCAAACCACCGTACAGAGTAATGATTAAAGGAAAAAGAAAAGCAGGAATTGAATGCAATTCAATTTTTTGTGTAATTAAAAACTCTTTTAAACTGTTTGGATGAACAGATAACAAACGATGGTTAGAGAAAGAAATTTTGACTAACAATCGATCAATTGCAAATTGATTATTTTCATTGTCTAGTGTTGAAAAAGATTGAAGTATCGAACAAGAAGATTGATCTAACCAATGAATGTTTTCAAATTCACCAGGTTTTCCTTCAAGGAGATAACATAGAGCTGAAATCGTTTGAATACTGTGTGGTGGAGATTGAGACAAAAGATTATTAATCCACAGTGGAACAGTGTCATTTCGAAGTTTTCTTAGTGCAATTACAATTCGATCGACAAGAAATGGACAAATAATTGACCATTGATGTTGACCAGCTGCAATGATTAATTGATCCAATGCATCAAACAGAATATTGTTCGAAGGATAATGAGCAAGATCATTGGCATAAGTAATTAACATAAAAGCACCAATTGGTAAAAGAGACTCGGATTCGTCTTTAGCTTGAATAAATTCACGGCAGAAATCATCAAAATCGTTCGGTAACCAACAAGAACTAATCCTACCCAGAGCAAGTGCATTTGGTACTCGAAAACGTGGATCATTCATATGACGACGCAACGATTGAGTCACAAGATGAACTTTATGTTCTGAAGAGGATTCTGGAAGAGCCAATTTCTCATGTTTTAATTGATCGACATCGATAAGTTTCAAACAAATAAAATATTCTTGAAATGTCAAATGAAGGAATCCATAAAGAGATTCACCTCGAGCAGCCAAAATCTCAACGTCTTCACGAGATATTCGTACGAGTTCATTTGTTTGGTTTTCGATCACACAAAGATCTTCGGCACTATACAGTTTTCCAATTAAGAAAGCTTTGATCGATTCAATGCAAATTTCTTTCATCTTATCTTCGTGAATGAGACCAGAAGTAGAATTTTGATGAATATAAATAGCAATATCACTTAGAATTAGAATTAACTTCGATATGCTAACAGTCGATCCTTTACTACTCCAGGAATTCAGCATAGAATCGACAATGTCTTGATAAAGTTCAATACGTCGACTAGGTAATGGCGAACCATTGGATTGACTAAAAGCTACACTACAAATGAATGACATCAGACAAGAATTCGAAGCCATATCAAGAAGATTAGCATTTTCTTCTTTTTGCAATTCTTGTTTAAGTGTTTCACCATGATTCTTCCCTTGATTGCCTTTTGAAAGGTTTAACATATCGATAATCTGTTGATGAACACTATAAAACCAATAATCAACAAAGTCTTTCATATGATCCATATCCATGGGTCGAATTGTATAATGAGCGAATTGACCAGCTAAAGGAGCAGCATGATAGCCCACAATACGAGTTGTAATAATTAACTGATTTCCTCCAGATTGAGATGGATTATCGAAATACCTGCTCAAATGTAGATTATCGAAGACAGACCTACCTGTCGGTGTTTGAACATAAGTTTCGACAAAGTTTTCAACAATATTGATCACTTTAGAACGTTGATCGGAAATGGGAATCTCATCGAGACCATCGAGAATAATCAATGCTTGACCTTGTTCGATGTAATCTTGAATAGCACTCGATAAGCTATCAAGAGAAATCGATTGATCATCAGCATTAGTTTTACCCATCCATGTGTGTTTTCCAATATATTCAAATAGAGTCAATGAAGACGATTTGCTCAAAAGTTCGACAAATTCTCTGACACGAATCAGAATCGGGATTCGAAGCGAATCGAAATCAGTCGAATTTTGTCGGTTGGAAAGAAGTTTTTCAGCAAGATGATGAACAAGCCATCGAGCAAAACTCGTTTTTCCACTACCCGGTTCACCCAAAATAACAATCCAACGTTTTGTTCGAAGAACATCTTCCTCACTAACATTTTCCTCTTCTTTTTCTTCTTGTTGAACACATTGACCTCGTTCAACCATTGATAACATGTAGGGTGCTGACACCAATTGTTGACTTAGGCCATTCGCCACTTGTCTCTTATTGTCTTGGTCTTGGAATAAGTTGATTTCTGGTCCATTGAGTAATCGTCGTGATTCGACTCTTTCGAATGCTGTGGACTTATCAGATCTCAATTGAATAAATGTACGAGTGAGAGGCAATTCGCATCCTTGCCATTTCTGTTCGAATTCAATCTGAGCTTCAGAAGAAAGTCCATAGAAAATCTTAGCAACTCTACCAACAACTTCGCCTTTAAGACTACTAAGTGGTACACTTTTATGCAACTCCATACAACAGCGAAGATAAGATTCAATCGTCTTTGTATGTTTGGTACGCAATTGACCAAGTTCTTCTTTCATCTGCTCCTTTGTCCGTTGTTCAATTTCCTCTAATCTTCGTTTCATCTTTTCATCGTAAATCTTCTGCACAAGAAGCTGCTGATCATGGTAAGTGTCACTGAGTATATTGACTTTAGCTTGATAGTCATCTGTTAAATTAGCTTGAAGTTGTGCAAGGCGCAACTGAAGACGAAACAATAACGATTCGAGCTCACGATCGACAATTCCTTTCGATGCAGATTGATCACCACAACAATTAATAGCAACTTGTTCGATGGCTTGGATTGTTTGTGAAATCTTTTTTTCTCTATGAGTCCCATCTTTTTTTTTACCCGCCTCATTCAATTCACGTCGAAGTCGAGTTAAGTTTTTTCCAATAAGCGTCCAATGATGTTCAAATACTTTTACCTTTTCTATTCGTGCGATAATTCTATCGATTCTTGCCGATATTGAAACAGCAGTTGACATTTCAGTTCTTTCAAGTAGCTGTCAAACAAATGAAGGGTAAATAATAGTCAAATTATAAAAGTTTTGTGAAGAACAGACTCATAGAAAGTTCAATATTTATTTCAATATGTTGCCCGAGTTAGTTTTTTCTTTATGAAATTCACATGACTAGATGTAAATAACACCTAATTAATCTAATACAATTGTTACAAACAAAAAATTTGCTCTGAAGCTTTACTTCGTACAACAGAACAAGCATTCAGCTGATTTATGGATCTGCATGTCGGGATCACGTCTCATGCATGCTGAAACCAACTTCTTCTATTTTCTGATTTAACTGTTTCGACAACATGAGAAATAAATCTTTATTATCAACTGTGATTTTAACCTAATAATTCTTTGTTAGTATTTGAATTCAAGTACATATGCAGTCTTACACGATAGACGAGTAATACCCTCTGATATCCTCGTGAAGTTGTAAATATAGAAAATGAACGTCTTCGAGTCATCAGACTCGTTCAGAAAGTAATGATATCCTCTAATGATACTCATCAGTTGCTTTTCTTTCAGTTACTCACGTTCTAATATCAACATGAATAAGCTTGAAAGAGTTCATTTTCACTTAAGTTGCGAAACAATCAATAACTCAATCGAAAGATTGTGTATAAAATGTTCAAAAGACATCAGAACAACATTTGAACGAGCTGATTAAGTTGAAAAGATGAGAAAGTAATTAAATACTGAGATGTCACCAAAAACGCAGGTCAGCTATAGTTTCGCAGAAAAAGATTGAGCAAATTAAAATCGTAGAGCATTGTTGAAAGAAAATTACTATCGTTTTCGATCTCTTCAACAAATAGAAAATTGTAAATAAATTCTGTTTAAAATCCATTACAATTTTTACGAGAAAATTTCAAATCCTAAAACATAATTTCTCTCATTTCTAATTCGACAAACTCTACAACTTATTTAAAAACTTATTTAAAAAAAAGAATGTTATCTCATGAAATGTAAAACACAATAGAGCCGCATTAACCATGATGAAGACACCTCGCTATGTCCGTCTTAGTTGACGGACGGACTGAGATCAACATGTCGAAATCTCTGTCACAGTCTATGCGATAGAGGAGGAGGGCTTCACTTTTTTTACTCTAAACTTCAACATTCATTTTCAATCGTGTTTCACAAAAATCTCAAAACAATAAATTCGATTGTCTTTTTAAATCTTCTAAGAATTGTATTTGACTAAAAAAAGGAGAATCACTTTTCAACATACTCGAAAAGTCGAAGAGATATGCTTGAACAAATCAAGAGTCTACCAGGAAAATCGAGAACGCCAGACTGTCTCGAGCAATTACGGTCCTTAAGAAATATTCAGTATTAATAGGTGGTGTGCATTGATTTCTTGCACTACAGACAGAAGAGACTTCTTCAAACAATTATTGTATACGTTCATCAATGATATTTCCTCAACTACTGTATTCACCAAAGACAATTAGTTAGTCGAGTTCTATTCTAGAAACAGATTGTATTGGGCCCATTTATGTCGGAGAAAAAGGAATATTAAACTAGCGCTCACTGCTGCTTCAATCGTCGATTGTCTTGCTATTTGTTGAATGAAATGACTATGTGTGATTTGAGGCGCAATGCATCTCTGTTTTGTTTGTTCTCTCTTCTGAATTACATGAACTGCACCGTCTTTCGCATTCCTTCAAGTCATATGGCTCGCTGGCAATGTTTAATTTCATTTAAATGGAATATGGCCATAAAGTGTTCTACGAGATAAGTGCTGTTTTCATCTTGCACTCAGAATGTTAAAAAACGCCTCGCCAAGCAGCCGTTAATGGGATGCCAATGTAAAGCTCACATGATTTTTTTTCAATTTTTGTAATAGTAGTAGAAAGTTTATATTTTGAATGTTGTATTCTTCTAGCAGATTCCAAAATTCAACAATGTCTGCTGTAGAAATCGCATATATCCTATTTTCTTGCTACTCTGAATTATCAGATGCTTTTATTTGAATTTTTCCTTTTGTGTTTGTCTATATTTTTCATTTATTGTGTTATTTTGGGCAGAGTATATTTTGTAGTTAAAAAGATAAGATATTCTGCTAGGAACAATGAAATAGAAGCTAGATAATTTTATTGGTCATCCTCGAAAGAACAGAGTAGATAGTACTTGTGATAGGTCGACTGCATTCAATAAACAAAGTGCATAAGAGCATTGATCGAACTTTTTCATGTTCATGTTACAATCGATGTTAAGTTACAAAATAATGTGTTGTAGTGTTTCTTCCTGATGATCCACGTAAACTAGTCGATAATTTTTTCTCAAAATAGATACTCCTTAGATTTAATAGTGAGGGATCTAGAAACTTAAATAAAAACCAAAATTTGTGGTGTCTGTGTCGGTAACATCTATGTTTGAATCAGCAAAGTCATGCAAGGTCGTAAACAACCACATTATTGGAACTTCACTTTTGCGCTGAGCAGAATGCTCAAGACTTCTAGAGAGTACTTAAGATTTTTTTATTATCCAAGTACTTTTGAAAAATAACGTGAGATTTCTCATCAGCAAACTTAGTGCCAGCGATATGTAAAAACTTTTAGTGGAACAGCAATGAAAATTCATTTCCGAAATCTAGGGGAGTCCAGGTATGAAAAATTAAGTTGTGATAAAATGAAAAATAAACTTGTGAAAAATAATCAGGGTTCAATGCTAATTATCGAGTGAATAAAATTAGATTCAAATTCTTTGAGAAGAGCAATCCGTAATCTGAAATATCTCCTTTGTCAACAAATAATGACAAAAGAAAATATTTTGATATAAATTAATTTGAAAAAGTAGTTTTATCTTTTAATGATACAATTAGAAAGTTTTTTATTTTTCAACATATTAATTTTTCTATAAAATAATAAGAATGATCATAAGTTAATATATTATTTTTTAATTAACCGATTTCTGTTCTTCAAACTTTTTCCTATTAAAAATGATTCTCTAAATATAAGTTTTATTTTCAATAACATCGAACTGTTGGGATTTTCTATTTAATCAATTTATAGAGATTAAAAAAAAATTTTTCATTTCAATATTTAATAGTTATATATTATTTTTAATTTTAGAACAGATCAATTGTTTCATTGGAGGCGTGTTCATTCTTTGCATTTCACATGTATATCAACCACGATTCAAACGCGTTTCGAGTCAAAAAACTATATTTACATTGATACAGTTCAATCATTGACTTATCAGAAGGCTTAAAAGTGAATTAGCTTAGTAAAATAATGATATCGTAGTGAACTGAGTTTTTTCTAAGAATGTCAGAAATGATCTTATTTGAAAAATAGCATCGCTTTTTTTTTCAAAAAAAGTCTTATTCTATTATGAACGTACTACATACAACAGTGTTAAGGAAAGAAAACAACTTTCTCAAGACTCTTCAATTTTCTAAACTACACAAAACATTTTAATAGAAGTTCTAAACACTTTTCTAATTATTTCTTTGTAAACAAGATTCAATTAATTTAAAATGATTTCTAAACCTCTTATTTTTCATATTCATTCTCATTTGATATATTACTTCAAATCAAATTCGCATTTAATCGCTCTAAGTTTTTTCTTTCTATTGAGCAGTAGCACCAAACTTATATTACTTACAAATTTCAAGTGAGACCAAGTATTTCTTATTATTTTTTGTTCTTAATGCATGAAATAAAATAGAGCAATCGTGGTTTATATCTGACAACAAATTAAACAAAAAAAAATTCTCAGACAAAAAATAATAATCGTTGTTACTTCTCAGTAGAAGCGTTCGTTAAAACATATGTAGAAAAGAGACGAAGTGTTCATCTCATTTCTATATCTCGAAATCAATCTCTATTATCTATTTCCACATATCCACAAGTATTCACAAGTACAGATAAATTCAAATCGAGTGATCTAGTACTAAATTATCTCATCTAAATCGAAATGCAGTTCTTTCAATGTTGAAACGTCATCATATGATGTTTTATAATCCTTTTTTTATATAATCTCACGTCCCAAAGTCTGCATTCATGGGACGGTTAAAAATCGTCTTAGGAAAACACTGATTGTCATATTCAAAGGCCCTACTTCTTCTAGTCAGATACGACAAACGGACGCTCTCATTCACATGCAAAGAGTGACATTTTTCCATGTTCTTAGATCAACTTATCGTCAGAAACTCAACAGCCTTATTCGACATTGCCTTGCGCCACATGTGTTACACCAGCGAGAAAAGAATACATCCTACGCCCATCGTTCCCATACCCATATAAATCGCGTTCACACCCGATGCCATAGCAAATGTCCTTTTTAGGTCTTTTGTTAAATTATGTACTTATTTGCTCCCGAAAACAGTATTGCTTTATACATATTGTGCTTGCTTTTCGATGAAGATAGTTGTGAGATATAATCCTTACGTGAAATGTAGCACAGTATATGACACTAATGACTAGAACGCTTGATAAGTGATGATAAATGAGAGTGGAAAATCCCCTGTGAAATATCAACAAGAGAAAAAAGAATAATCCATAAAATGAAGAAAAGGAAAGGAAAGGAGAAATCCATTACACACATATCAGACGGGATGAAAAATAATATGAATGACAATTGAATAACAAAAGAGAAGAAAAACACAAGAAAGAGAAGACAATACACCACTATTTAACAATAGTCATATGTTTTGAATTTATTATAGATAAATAGAAAAAGTGATCCTATGAATCAGTACTAGCTGCATCAGAACGAGGCATCAGTCGCCGTCGTTTGTCCGTCGGATCACAGTAGGCCCAGTCCATGTAGGGAAAAGTCCATATGACTGTTCGATGAATGTTTGCTTCTAAGTCGTCAGATCAGTCAGACACGAAGACCTTCGTGCACATTGAAAAATAACTTAATACAGCAGTCTTTTTTATAAAGTGACTCAACATAAAGACACAATGTGCGTTATTACAGACAATGTTGACCACAATTCGGCGGCACCAGATGAGGTGACAGCTAGAATTATTTTCTCTTTCCTCTGTTTGTGACAAATAGTACAGCAAATTTTCAATTGTCACATGTATATTCAACTCTTTACTATTTTTCTATCAGAAATTATTCAACAAAAATATCCATTCCAATTTTTAAATAATCATTTGTGTAACCATTACATATCATAGAACCATAGCTCTTATCGAAATTTTATTATTATGATATTAGTTGAAGCGTGATCAAATATCATGGTGTGGGTGCGTAGTCGCCTATCAGTAAATTAACTCTAGTTCCTTCAAAATCTTATGAAAACAGGTTGTAGTATATAGTATTTGACACGCCTCAAAAAGCTCTACAACATGATATATTTGGTTTTCCATTTCTGAATAGGTTACCTTATCCGACAAGATCCTTTAAACACCGTTATACGAACTTTTGGTTTATCCTAAATACATTTGAATGAATAATGGATGAAAAGTAATATCAATTTAGTAAAATACGCAATTACTATTCATCTGTCGTTTGTATTCTTGTTCATTTCAAATTATTAAAAACTTATGAATTAATATTGAAACTTTGACAAAACCTCTCCTAATTAAAACGAATTTTTTTTTTTGCAATGATCATTATGTATTTTTCATTAGAGATGCATTTTAATAGTCCATGATAAACTAATGTGTTATTTTTAGATCTAATTTATAGTAAAGTCAAAAGAATTAATATGATACTATTAATTTATAAAGAATATCTTCTTCAGTGTTATTTGAATTTTGATTTTCCTATCGTTTTGAGTCTAAAGTTGATGATAGATTTCTTCAAATTAATATGTGAATACAAAATATGTTGTTTTTTGTTTTGTTATAGTATTGTTCCTTGAAATGCAAACTAATGAGAAACTTAATACCGTTGTTAGAAAATCAAGAAATAAAAATACATTTAACAATATGAAAAGAAGATTTATATATTAATAGTTTACCATCAAAATGTAAACAGTTATACATTTGAAAAATGAAAAACATGAAAGGAAATCTCTAATTAAAATTCCTATTCTATTAATATTAAAATTCAATATTCATGAAGAAAATTTTGGGTGTCCATTTTTTAACAAAACTAAACTTGTGTCTTATCGCACGATCAAAACAAATATTGTATTTGACAAGATATTATGTCTCTATATTTAATAGAAGTACGATGCAGTGTTTTATTCAGATTTCCTCTTCGGGTGGAGCAATATGAAACTCTACGACGGCGAACACCTATTTTTGGGAACATAGGCACATAATACAGAGTGCAATAATCACAAACTCAGGAAAGATCAGCGACATCTTTGTCGAGGCGTGGTTCCCGCTAAACTTGTCAAATAGGATATGAATGAAAGAATCAACTCTTGCCAATATTATTTATACTATTGATTCATATAAAACTCTTTGCTGAATAAATTGTATCCTCTTCTCATTTAAATACTACTTGTCTTATATTTATCTTGATGCATTGATTTTTCTTATATCGTCGATAGTAATGAGTTATTTATTGTTATTGCATATTTTTAATTGAAAAAAAACGGATAAAACAGATCATATTTCCTTTAGCAACTCTATTAAATTGCTAAAAATTCAAATGAAACATGATGAAAATTCTACTTGCATGAAGACACATGAACGATATGTATATATATATGAAAAGTATGACAATTTAGATTAAATATTCCTTCATCGATTTCTCTGATATACGGTCACAATCACCTAATTCTTTTCAAGGAAACTATTATCAAAAATAACTTGCATGAATACAACTATCTTGTTTTTTTTACCTATAACAAAAGAAATATAAGAAATAATTTTCTGTATCTCTTCCATATTCATCGGAGATAATAGTAAAAAAAAACAAAATTTCACATCTATCATGAAATATAATCTTTCATTCAGATTTCTAATCCTATTTTCTTATCAAATTCCTTCATCTTCAATTAATTACAATATTTGTTCTATGATGAATTTAACATAATCTATATGCATTGATAGTGTTTATTAATAGAAACGACTAGTATAAATAATTAACAACAAATCGAGAATAATAATTAATACTGATGAACATAATGTTCTTGCATGATTACATCCATCATATGTACAAAGTGCAATGTGACCTTGCAGACGAATAGAACCAGACATATCTTGAAAGCCTTTTAAACGAAAACTGCCCGATGTTTCTAATGATTTCGTTGATTCCATTATATTATCAACAATACATGTACGATAATAGAAAATCGTATTTACATATGAAGCATTTGCACCACCGTCAATACTCGTAATACGACCACTAATTTTTACACAAAATCGAGCTGAAAATGTTCCATTTTTGCCCATAGATGTTGCCTGAACATATGAAACAAATATTAAAAGTCTTTATGAAATATAAATAAAAAAAAAAATAATTAATTCCTCGATTATGAGCAAATTTCAAACAAAAAGGAACATATCTATCTTTGATTCTTTACAATAAATTCTTTTAGCATAGACATATGCAAAATGTTGGCTCTTTCAGCTGACTATTAATTAAAAAGTTATTAGCTAATATCTTTCTGATCACATGAGAAACACGGTTTGAAATCGGTTTTGAACTAAATCTAGACTTGATGAGAAAAAACTTTGGATAGAGATTTTATAGTCTCAACAGTGAAAGAAGACATTCTTTTGTTGTTTCACGTGACTAACGAATAAAGGCCTGTATCGGAGTCATTGGAACTCTCTAAATTCCCTACTAGTACATTAGGTTGCACACGACAGGTTTTATTCTTTGATATTCATTATACATACTGATATATTTTATAGAGACTAGATTCACATTTCCTCTGAAGGCAGGAAAAAAATCAGAGGTCAATGAAGGCTTCGACTTGTTCACATGGGCGTAGGTTTCGAAGATATACAAATAGAATTCGGAAAACATGTCAGTTTGTACAGTGTATACCAGAGAATAAAACTTACAATTCAAAAAAACACTCTTGTGTCAAAACTGATTCATTAGTAAAGTATTTAGCTGACGCCAATGCAGATATCTACTAACGAATGATTTTTTGTCCATGTATCAATCTTTTTGCCTATCATCGATATAATTATCTACAGCTAGATTTTTCTAAATGTTCTGCAAAAAAAAAAATCAACATATCCTACCTGACAATTATTATGAATGGGGTTAAGTAACGATGAAAATGGATCTTGACAAGCATCATTATTCAAATTAGTTGTCATACACTTATAACAAGATATGCCTTGGTTTGATATTGGTTTAATTACAAGTAAAAAATATAAAATAATTACAGTTAAATATTCCCAAAAGTCGATATTTGCTAGCATTTGATAGTAATAAGAAAAGAAATTCTATATAAGAAAATCAATTTGAATTGAAAATCGTTCTTTTTTTTTTTGCTTGTATATATAAATAACAACACTTACATTCGATGTTATATTGCTTAGTGACTTATTAGCTGCAATGTTTTATATAGTGCTAAGTGATAGTAAACCTCGTTCTTTTTAAAAATAAAAATTACAGATATTACTTCTCTTTTTTCTATTCTTGCTCAACGAGTCATCTTCATCAGCATCTCTTTTTTTCTATTCTCGCTTTTATCATCCATTCTTGAATTGTGAGACGTTCTCTTTCGCCAATGCTTTATTTCCTCATTTTCTTTTTATTCTCAGAGTCTATGTTTGATGAGAGCTTCGTTTTTTTCCCCCGACTCTCAGTATCCTTTCCATCTCCTGTCATCAACTGCAGTCATGTAGAAAAATTGAGTCATTGATTATTAGCTGAATGTCGATAGCAAGAGAGAAGAGAAAGATGTTTCTTGCAACTAACATTTTTTTTTCTATTTCTCATAATAAACGACGAAGGCGCTACTAACATGTTTCTCTCAAGCAGTAGTGTGGTTGGGTTTTAGTTTTTTGTCTTATTCTTTTTCTCTTTACTCACGTAGAATATAATATGTTGTTAATACGTAGAGATTGAACAGAGCAAAGCTCATATGTGTGTTTTATTCAGCATGGGAATCGACAAGACGGAACTTCTTTAAAGATTAGGTCCGCCTTTTCCGGAGTTTATAGTTATTTTGGCAAGTATTTTATATCTGTACTTCTAAAAGTAGGTGTACGCTCTTCGTGAAGTTTTAAGTCGCCTCTCTGGAAGAAAAAAAACAATCTGAATAAAATACTGATTGAGACCAAGCAACTAGTTCAATCTATTCCAATGAGAATACATTCCTATATTGAGAATTCTTTCTATAATTGATAGCTATTAGACTATCGCGTTTTTTCACTATACACTATCATTTTTACATACTTGAGATGATGTATAAAAAGTCACGTACTAACAAATACAATAAGTAATGTTAGAGCCATATTTCTAATAATCAATCAATAACATATCTACATAGGATGTTTTTAATCACATTCCAAATATATATATATATGTATACAGTCATGGATAAAAACAACTACCTTTCAATAAAGTGTTACTGTTCTTTATGATCTTTTGGATGTATGCGTGCAAGGGATAAACCTTGATCGCAAATACTAAATTACTTTCCATCGATTCAAACATATTGAAGTTATGATTCATACATGTTATGTCCCTTGTGAAAAAAAAAATATTCAATGGAAATATACATTCAAAAAGTTTTTGTTTTTTATCATTGTGCTATTCTATTAATAAGTTACTACCATTCGCTTTTCTAACGCTGAAGATAGTCATATATGTCTACTTTATTTGTATCAAAGATGGTGACACAAAGTCAAGGTATGAGCAATTATCACGTCCTGTGATAGTGGATCCTTGTTGTAGCGTTAATTCTATTTCATTTAGTTTTATTGCTCTCAGACTTTTAGAATAGACTTGTTGTATCACAGAAACTTTCTATTAAAATTTTAAAATAAAATCCTTGTAAAGTGATTTTTTTACAAAATTCGGTCTAGAGAAAGAGACGACATTGATCTTTCGAAGGTGAGGTTAACATGTAAACTGATGAAGAGGCAGATTAGTGTTTTCGATTAGAGTTTATTGTTGCACGCATTTTATCCAAAATATAAAGAATAGTAGCACTTGATTGAGAGATAGGGGCTATCAATGATATTAACTTACAAACAAATCCAGTGGTCGATATGTTTTTTGTCATGAAACATAATGTGTTGACAACAGTTAAAATTCTACTACTGAACTCATACACGATCAATATTTCTCAATGAGTTTATTTTATTCAATTGTTTCCTGTTTTGAAGGATGTATTTTGTCTTTAACTGAAGAAAAATATTGGAAATTAAAAATCAAAAACATTTCAAATTATTTGATATGACATCTTGAAAGAAGAAAAACTCATCAAATAATAATGAAGAACAGTACAGAGATAAAAGGCAAAATGCTACAATATTAAAATGTTTAATTTTTTGGATCATTTCTAATTGGTTATGACAAATAAATTTGCTTGAATAATCTAATTATTCGAGCATCACCTTTATGAAGAAAAAAAAAATACAAGCTAAATTATTAAGTTTGCAATTATTTATTATGAACGTGACTTTTTGTAAGATAAATCACTGAAAGCGAAAAAGAACTATAAAAAAAATCTTCTTTTACAAGGCAACATCAATTTATTTTTGCTTATACAAAAGACGTAATTTAATAATAAGATGTTTAGGAAATTCAACCAATGCTCGTTTATTATGAGAGATATGCTCTATAATTGGAATCAAAGTTACATAACAGTATGTTGTATGAAAATACTATCTAAAAAGTAGGTCACATAAATTCTCTATTTCCTTTGGTGGAAAAGATATAAACAATTTTTTTATGATTTCTATTAAAAAAAGATTTAGAATTTATTATAATCGGTTAAGTCTTCTCCCACTCAAAAGCATCAGTTTTCATCAGAAGAATCGGAATTGAGATGATAGCCCCTAGATCTGATCTTTCATAACCGACATGACTTTTTTTCTTTATTTGGTACTTGGTTTTTTTTTTTGATGATTTCCGTCATCTTTTTCTTGAACAATATGCATTTATTTCAGCAAAAAAAAAACAGGAAATCTTTTTTTGTTATTTCTGTATTTATGTTTTTTGAGAACTCTCAAAGGAACTGTATCCTAGCCAATTATTTTTTTTTGTCTTTTGTTTGATTGAATATGTGAAGTTAAAGTGTCTTGTTTTTTGAATTAAGCTTTTTATCATTATATAAAGTACTTCTATAAATAGATAAGCATTTTTCACGGTATTGAACTTCTTATCCTTTTTTTCCTGCATAAAAAGTAAGAATGTCAAAAACAAGATTTTCTATTGAATCAGCTCTTATGTATAAAATCGTCCTACAGATTCGAAATTCATTGATGATTGTATTAATTGAAATGATATTCCTCTCTTTGAATTCATTAAGAAACTGTTAATTTATATAAAAATATAAGAGTGAAAACTACTTCAATCATGCTCAAGTAATCTATTGTAATTGAGAACAGGTCACAGAAATGAATACACAATATTGTTTTATTAAAAGAATTCGTATTTAATAATTCATGCACAAATATTGATAAACCACATGACAAAGTAATAGAATATATGAAGAGAAAAATGAATTATCAGAAAGATAAACATTCATTTATGCATCTACAATTATGACGTTGGGCACACAAACACTACATTCTACTGCATCATCATCAGCAACAGGCAAATGTTTGCTTAGCAAAATACGATCGGATTTTTACAGTGAACCCTGAATTACTTTGTTTTTGTGGAAATTGAGACGATCTCTATTTTTGTCATTACCTATAGAAGATATTAAATAGTGCACTTTTTCATGTACAATAAAAATTTGTAAACCGTACTATGATTGTAAAAACAACTGCCAGATGCCGATTAGCTTTTATTGCAAAAAACTGTACCTATTCAAAACACCAATTTGTACAATTACATAGTTTTGTGTCATACTTGTCTTTATAATTGCAAATACGATCAATTGTTAAATTCAATGTAGACAATTTTTTATTCGATTATAAGATGTACATCTATATGTATACTTGCTTATCAGCAAAATCACTACGATTAGTTTTTGTTTTTCTCTCTCTTTTATTTTCATTACATTTTACATTTAGTAAAGCACTTGATTGTATGAATGTATCTAAATATAAACTGAACATTGTGTATTGCTTTGAAAATGTAAACTATTCGAATTTATTTTAAGTACAATTTTGTTATCTATTATGTGTTCTTGTACAGTAGAAAGAGATGAATTATTTTCGATATTGTTATCAGTAAATACGTACGTATATTAATCTGAATAATTTATATTAATTTGCAAAAAAAATATTATCTGACAGCACATATATCACTAGTAGTCGTCATCCGTGGGCAGATTATTGATATATTACAATAGAAAATAAAAGTGCTTTTTTGTATTATTATTTCAATAAAAACTATGATCTAACTATAGCCATTATGTATTTTTTTCGTACAATATATATATATGTCTGTATCTATAAATATTTACAAAATGTTTTTGAATGTATCACTTGAATTTGCTGGTAATTTATTCGTTGTTGTTTTATCAGTATCATCAACATTTGTTAATTTAGTTTTATAAGCAATAAGTTCATCAATTTGTTCTAGAAGTCGTCGGCGTTCTTCTTTACTCGAAGGATTCTATAAAAACAAAAAGAAGATTTTATAGGATAATTAAAAAAAAAAAAAACTTTGGTCGTTTTACTATTTTAGTTAATTCATGTAAAATATGTTCAAATATTTCATTTTGTTTTAATTCATATTCATGTATAGCTTTTAAACGTTCAAGAAATTTATCAATAGCAGTTTCACATGATTTTAAGGAATTTAATGATTCCATTTGTTCATTAATATAATTGACAAAATTCATTTGTTCATCTAAACATTGTTTATATTCATTTAAATAATGTTCTGATGTTGTTTTATCAATTGATATTGACGATATTGCAAGTAAACGAGTATTTAATTCTGAATTTAAATAAGCAGTACATTCAGTATTAAATTTATCTATTATTGTGTTCATCATATTGAAGATTTGACAATATATTGATATATTAATTCAAACGAAAGACTTACTGAGATTAGACAAAGAAATTAGAATCATAACGAATCGTCGAAAAGCAAAATCAACAGAGGTCGCTCATACGAACATAATGTTTTATCTCAATAGAAACAATAAGTTAAGACTTAAAGTATAGGCGATTTACAGTGAGAAAACCAATTTTTTCGATATGATAGCAAAACATCATAAATACAGGTTTATATCCAAAGATTTTCACCATCTAAAAAATTTGCAATGATTAGTATAGTTAAAAAT